ACTTATTTATATATATATATACTAGCTGGCCCGGCAAACGTTGTTTTGCTGAGTAAGGTATATTCTAAACAATTTCTAGAGAATCAAAAATATTAATACTTTTAGTGTGTAAGGATGTATTGTTTGAATGCTATATACAATGAAGTATCATAAAAACAATAAATCCCATTAGTTTGTCTTTATTTGTTAATACAATCAAACTGGAAATTTATACACTTTCTATAGAAAACATCGTAATCCACCCAAGTCTTTTTTGGTCTTTCGACTTATTGATTACGTTTCAAGTTTTTCAGATTTTTTTTTTGGATTCTGGATTTTGTGTTCAATAGTAAATAATACTACTGGGCTCGTACAAAATTTTTAAATTTCTGCGAGGAGAGAAGAAAATCAATTAAGTATTTCTTCTTTGACCTGCTTTTTGAAAAGTTTCAAGTAACACTCCATGAATTAAAGTAAATTTTATAGAAAGTATATATGTAGAGCAGGGCGACGCACGAAGGTCCAATTTGACCTTGAGCAAATATAAACTATATTGTGAAAAATATAACAATTATATCACAACAAATAACACATATCAAACGAACAATTATCTGACTACGTTCAGTAAACTGCTTTCTACTTCATCATTGTAGAAATGTGCTTTTTTGATGTATTTCAAAAATTTGTTATTTAGATCTTTTTACCCTATAAGCGGGGTGAAACGGACAGGTGGCAAAAAGGTTTAAAGCCTTATTATAATTTTGAAGGTATTTTAAAAAATAATTACATTTTTAACTAATGCTAAAAAACTACCAACGGAAGAAAATAATTTTATTATGGATTTTCAAAGGTTACCCGTTTTCAAATCGAGGTTATAGCTGGTTATACATCTTTTTTCCTCAACTTTCAAATATTGCTGTTAAACAATGCTTAACTTTACTGATTTTTGACACATCGGTGGTAGACCTTTTTAACCCCGGACTATTCATATATACTATCTATTTTTCGATAAATTCTGGAAAATTGTAACTGGGAAAATGTTATTCGACAAAATGTCCATTTGCTCGATACCAAATTTAGGCTCTCAATTTAAACATTAATAAAAAATAATATAACTTGTGTTTTAATGTTTTATAATTACCAATGAGTATATAATTATACAAATGGGATCTTTCAGAGCACCGTGTTTGAGAAAAATATGCCAAAAAGGGCATTTTCATATTAACATTTCAAAAAAGTTGATATTTTGAGTTTCTAGTAACACTGGCGATCGGTTTACTAAAGTTGTTGTATATAAATGAAACTACAATCAAAACTATTTACTACAATTTAATCATAATTAAATAATATTCACGTAAAACATCCTATTAAACATAATCGAACATCATCTGTCAAAAACGTTTGACATTTATCAGCCACCGTCCATTGTTTTATTTACTACGCTTCAACAAAAATTTTCAAATTAAAAATGTAAAGTTTTTACGCGATTTTGAAATAATATCTCACCTTGCCGACAACCTACTGATTAGCACGAATTTTTCAAGACTAAGACTGGCCAAATCCATTCAGCAGTTTTCGAGTTTTATTCGGACATTTGAAAGACAGCTCCATTTTTATATATAAGATATGTTCCAAACCATCTATGGTTCTGATCCAATTCTTAATGACATGAGCTTTTATAACGGTTGTTGAATCTTTAGTTTTAATAAAGTGCATTGAAATAACGCTTGCTTTGCAATTTTCGAGAATTTGATATGTACAGAATAATTATTAATGGCACATCGAAATATATCGCCGTTTGTTGGAAATTGAGATAAACTATTAACACTATCAAAAAGGTAATTCATGAACTCTGAGGATTATTCCCATAAAGGTAGTTTTGGTTTTATATTGAAACACACTTTGTAATTCAATAATTAATTTACATTTATCAGCAAGATTCTATAATATTATTTTAGTTTAATTTTGACTGCTTTCGCTCGTCAAGCGGGTATTTAGCTATATCGATGCTCGTAACGTACTGAAAATAATACCTAATATTTTTGGGTAAATGTGTTTTATTGCCATGTATGAAGCGAACAGCTTTGTGCTTGTGCGATGTTGCATTTCTTGTACATTGAAGCAGCAATTCGCTCCATACTGGGGTCCCAACCGCCAACAATCATGGCTTAGGTCAGGTCTTAAGATATTTGATCAAAACTAAAATTTAAACTAAAACGTATTAAACATATAAAACTTATTAATTATATAATGATCAAAATTAAAATGTTTGCTAAAACTTCAAATTAATAAACCATCATTTATTATTTACTCTACTCCTTAATGCTATGATCAAATGAAATAAAACTTATCAACTAATTGTTTATTAATTAAAATTGAATAATTATGTTATGTCTAAATAATTGATAAATTTAATCTTATAATTATATTAGTTATTTTTACATATTAAATGGAAGTGGGCATAATTTTGTGATAGGCCTAGTATATAACCCTTATAGCTGTTTTAATTATTGCGACTCGTATTTTATCATCTGGTCCCTTTTTTGTCTCAACTACTTTCGCGATATTCCATTGGAGAGGTGGGATATGGTCCTCTTTGACTAAAACAATTGTTCAATTCTCAAGAATTGACTTCGTTTTATACCATTTTTACGTCCTTGTAGTTGTGACAAGTATTCAGTAGACCAGCGATTCCAAAATATATGTTTTAAGTTAATGACATCTTGCCAGCAATTTGAGATATTATTATAACATTTTGATTGTGGCTCAGAAAATGAAGCTATCACATCGTTAATTATAGTGTCCCATACTTAAGTATCCGCAATCTATTACATCATCGGAAACAGCTATCAATGCACGCGAATTTACAATTGCTTCTATTTGAGTTAAAAACTTATAGTATTCTTCAAATATTAATGTTGTGTTGCCTATAATCGCATATACTAATTTTTTGTTATTTTTTTTTATATTAAAACTGAATCCAAAACAATATGCTCTAATTCTAATCATAACTCTAGACTTTATTATAAATTAAATAAAAAGAACTTTTATGTGTTACAACGAGTGTTACAACAGATTTTCTTTTTACTGCATACTCTAAACTATTTCTGACTTTATTCTTTATATTAGCTATAGATAAGATTTTGCGTTTAGTTCGAACACCGTCTGTGACTAAAACATTATTATAAATTTTGAAGTTGTCAGATGTAGATTGCCATATAACGCTTAAAGTTTTAATTGTTTTTTCTTTATCAAACCTTACATTTATGTTTTCGTATATGTTTGTATCATTAATTAATTCTATGCTGTTGCTTGACCACTTATGTAGTTCAAACCCCCCTTCCGCTAGAAGATCCTCAGTTTGCTTTATTGATAATTTTGCATCTGATAAGGTGTCTGCAACCGAAATTATGTCGTCTACGTAACAAACTGACTGTAGCAACTTTTCTAGACATTTTATTGATAAATATAGCGCGCAATTAGTGCTATATGTAACAGTATTTAGTTTGTAGCATTCTACGAGCATTCCGGGTGCCTCACAACATAAAATTCTTTGATAGTCCTGATTCTCAGTTTTAATTTTAATTTGACGAAACATGTTTACTATGTTCGGCGTAAATACAAATTTATATGTCCGGAATCTTATAAGTATGATAAAAAAACACGATCCCGGCAACAGAATGTCATTTAGTGATAAACCATTTGAAGAATTTGCTGACAAGTCAAACACTACTCTTATAATTAGTTTTGTGGTTAAGCTAGCTTCACGCACTATCAGATGGTGTGGCAAATAATAATAATTGTTTTCTTCTAAACTTTTGTTTTTAATTTCGCTTCGACTTTTGTCGATTTTGGTTGCATGACCTAATCTTTAATATTCTCTAATAAATTTTCGTGACCTAAATTTATAAATCTTTTATATGCTTGGGAGTAAGTGAAGCCGAGAAAATTTCGCGGATCCCTTCTAAACGGTAGCGTGATTTTAAATCTGCCAATTAAATCCCTACTGATAAATTTTTCAAACATGTCTTTCGCTTGCAGTTCATCCTCTGACGTGATACTTTTTTTATTTAATTCTTCGGTTTCCCGAAACTGTTTTAATTGGTCCGATATATTTTCTTCCGTCGTTACTCCTACGTGCGCAGTAAATGTTTTGTATTCAACCGGATCGCAAAATGACCACCCAAAACTAGTATTAAATAATGTGATTTTGTTTTTCAGTTTGATTTGTTCAGTTGTTAAAGTTTCAAAAAATATTTCTGCGCCTAGTATTAAATCAATTTGTCCCGGCGAGTTGAAATTAGGATCGGCTAGTATGCAATTTTTCGGTGTATCCCAATTTGATATATCAATGCTTACTCCTGGTAAATTATTCGCAATGTTTTACATAACGATACAATCTAATGTTTTTGTATAAACGTTGCAACTTGTAGACTTACCGAACCTAAAACATTGACGACAATCAGTAATTACATGTGAGGACTTGAGCCAGTTAAAACACAATTGCGTCTTTCGAACGAATTCGGCACGCTCATCTATTTCAAGTTTTAAAAATTATTCGCATTGGTTAAGGTAGTGCTCTTTTTTGCAAAATTTTTTGTTTAATAGGTGCAACAAAATGACTTTGCTGAACCAGAGTGTTTATATATAACCTTTGCTCGCGATTCATATCATATGTTGCGCAACGTTTTTCTAAAAAGGAAAAAAAAATGTCTAATGACGGTAGATTATTTTTTGATATAGATGCACCCCACGCTATTTGGGTATCCATGTCTAATTTTGCTTTTAATATAAATATAAATATAAGATCAGAGAGCTCTACTGAGAGTCTCTCGTTTTTAATAGCGGATATGCGCTGTCTAGGTTTGCATAAAAAAATTCTTAGTGATTTGTGATCTCTATTTTGTGGTTGATTTACAATTTCTTTAAGTTGCGCGTTAATTAAAATCAATTTATTATCATAGGTACCCACTAAAGTATCCTATGCTATTTGAAAATTCGCGTCTGTGATTGATAGATTTTCAAATAAATTGGCGGTCTCTTTGCAATGAGTTTTTTAAATAGTGTAACTTTTGGGAATTTGTTAACAATTTATTTTCTATAATTAGACTCGAAAACATGTCTCGAAATTCCGGCCATTTAGACAAGTCTCCATCAAAATTTGGCAGATGAATTTGAGGAAGCTGAACTTTAGCTGAAGCTGATTTAGACACATTCTGCGCGCATGCATTACTTTGTCTACAACCGGCCAATAAAATATCTATTGTACACAAAATCTTGCAATATTGCGTTTCTAACTCCTCGCGATCGCCCTCGAATTCATCTAAATTAATGATTTCAAACTCATCTTGTGCTTCATTATATTTGTTAAATGTGTCATTGAGAAGCTGCTTACGCGCGTTTAGTTCCAAATTACTCAATTCGGAAGTACATTTTGAAATATAATTTTGTGTTCGCGTTATTTTGGATTTTGCTAATCTGCGCTTTTCAATTAAAATATTTTGAGTTTCCATTGTCATGTGATAGCCTTTACAATTTAAATACGAAAACTAGTGGGGTGTATGGCATCGTGCCTTAAGGCAAATTGCTGGAACTTCCCGCACCGTAACGAAATGTTCCAGGAATACTGAATGTTTTCAAATAGATTATTATTAATATCGTAACATTGTCTAATATTTATAAGAATTATATAAACTGAATTGCAGAGTTGAAATTATTTGTTTAAAGTATATTAGAACTATAGTCAGAATTAAAAATAAAATCTGAATTATTTTCGATATACAAAAAATTAAAAAAAAAAAAAAAAAAAAATGAACAACATTTTTTTTTCCAAAATCAATTATTTTGTTAAGACAAGCAGAAAGTTCGTTGAATCAATTGGATCGGACGCTTAGTTCTCTCAAAAACTGTCATTTTTTGTACATTTAGCTCTGTATCTCCGAAATGGCTGGGCCTGCCTTTGCGAAAAACTAATAACCCCTTCTCCCAATCATTACTAATTGAATGTTTTTTAGATCATTCAAATCGGATGCTCCGTTCTCTCAGAAACTCGATTTCTATTTTCTGCACTCTTTGCTCCTTATCTCCGTAACTGCTGGACCTGCCTTTGCCAAAAACTAATCAGCACATCTCCTTATCAATAGCAATCGAATGTTTTTTAAACCATTCAAATCGGTTGATCCGTACGCCCGAAAACGTGGGCGAAAATTTGTATCCATACATACATACACACACACACACATACACACACACACATCCATTTTTTCTGAGGTATGCCAAAACGTTCAGAAACCTTCAAAACGTCGAGAAATGTAAAAATTTTCAATTCCGATTTTCGGCCCATTACAATAACTTACCCTACGGGAAGTTAAAAAAATGATAGATAAAATATAAAAGAAAAACGTTTGTGAAAAAACTATAATAGAATAACTATATAATTCAAAAGTAAAGCCTAAACTACTAATTGGTAAACTTGAACTCTCTATCCCCTTGGAAGATGGCGCCTCTAACTAAAATAGTGGCTTCAAAGCGTACCTCAATTCTTGCGTTGAAAACTTTAAGCTCCATACGAAATCTCGTGCTTGTCAAGCGCGCTGTTGCACACTGCAGCGTTTGGGGGCAGTTCGGTTGCGTTCGCTGGCGCTTCGGTTCTTCAACGGTGCTTCTGACGCTCACGGGGGTGATGATGATGGCTAATGGCCGCCGACTGAATCCTTTCCAAACTTTTAAATTTTCACTTTTGTTTGGATTTATATCCAACTGCACTGCTTTGTTTCAAATTTTTATATGTTTATCAATTATATTTTAATTACTTTGTTATATTTTGATTTAAGTAGATCACTCTAATACTTTATGCTGCTAATCACACGTGTTTTTAAATTTGCTTGTTATGTACACGCACTAATATTCTTATTAATTTTCTTGATTTTTTTTAGTAATGAACTGTATTTTATTCACTTGCTTTATGTATTCATTCGTTTTGATTCACCACTTTTTGGTTCTATTTAATTGATTAATATTTATGCGGCTCGAACGAATCATTTTATGGGGATTATTCCCATAAAGGTAATTTTGGTTTTATATTGACACAGTTTGTAACTCAATAATTTATTTCACTTATTTCCAAGATTCTATAATATTATTTTAGTTTAATTTTGACTGGTTTCGCGAGTCGGGCGGTTAATTATAATAACAGACTTAAGAATTGTGACTGCTTTCGCTCGTCAAGCGGGTACTTAACTATATCGATGATCGTTACGTACTGAAAATAATACTTAATATTTTTAGGTAAATGTGTTTTATTGCCCTGTATTGCCTTGTGCGAAGTTGCATTTGGATCAATTCGCTCCAAACTCAAAAAAATTACCAGTACCTACTGAAGTAACAGTCCTTCAGTATCTCTAAGAAGCATATTTATAGCTTTGCAATTAGCAGCAAGCTGATCACAAACTGTTGCAATAACATTTAGACCAATACTCGGTAGTTTTCTTATGACATCTACAATAATGCATTTTATTAACGCTATTCACACCCCCTTAAGAAAAGCAAAATGCAACAGGTTGCACTCATCGATGTTTTATGACGTTAGCTTAAAAGACAAGAGAATGATCAGCAAATAAACTTTCCTCAAAATCAACAATATGATTCTTTTTGCAGTCGCAAAATAATGCAGATGATAATGATATTTCATCAAACATCAGAATACAGTTTTTGCTATTCATATATTTTTTCTGTGCCATAGCTGAACCCAATGTTTGGAAAAGAATTTCATTAATACCACTATACAAAGGAATTGCTGAGAGCAACTTTCTCATTGTTTGAGGAGCAGGCAAAACAAATATTTTTCTCAAAAAGTAATAACCTCTTGAAAAAATTTTATGCAGAGTTAAAGCAAGAATTTTATCATCAAGTGTAAATTTTGTCCTTTTGGCTTTTTCGTATGTTCTCTTAGTTGACTTAATATAAAATTACGAGCCCTCTCATTTAATGTTGCTGGGAGATAAGTAATATTTTTAGCACATTTGAGATTTTTGCCTCAATGTTTTTTTTTGTATATTTATTTTCTTTACATCCTTTCTCAACACATTTGTTACACGGTATAACTTTTGTTTTCTGCATATCTGGTCTCTGCGGTGCCTATATCTTGAGTTAAGAACCTCTGCTGAAACCAAAGTATCTAGAAGCATTTGCTACGGACATAAATTGTAGTATGACAAATTTCAAATAACACACCTTTCAGGGACGGTTTTCCACCTTTAGTTTGACTTTCTTGCTACAAGACGGCCCAAACATTTCTTGTGTCTCTACTACTGTAGAGTCCAAAGAAGCTGGAATGGAATTTAATATAAAAACAATAGAAATAAATTGTAACTTATGTAATGATAAGTGAATTACTTTGCCTGCCCATTTCATTCACGCATGCATTGTGAGACGATCCAAACATTCCTTGTGTCTCTACTATTGTAGAGTCCAAATAAGCTACAATAAAATGTTGTTTTAGAATAATACAAATAGATTGCTTATGTAATGATAAGTAAATTAGTTTGCCTGTCCTTTTCATTCACGCTTGCATTATGAGACGATTCAAACATTCCATGTTGGTCTACTACTATGAAATTTGATATTTATAGGCTACAATGAAATTAAATATAAGAACAACACAAATAGATTAAAGCTTATGTAATGATAGTGATAGTGAATTACTTTGTCTGTCCATTTCATTCACGCATGCATTATGAGACGATTCTAACATTGTGTCTACTATTGTAGAGTCCAAAGAAGCTACAATAAAATTTCATATAAGAACAAAACAAATAGATAAAAGCTTAATTGATGATAAAAATGAATTACTTTGCCTGTCCATATCATTAACGCATGCATTGTGAGGCGATCCAAACATTACTTGTGTCTCTACTACTGTAGAGTCCAAAGAAGCTACAATGAAATTTTATATTAGAATTAGAATTAGAATTAGAATTAGATGCCCATTTCATTCACGCATGCAATACCGTACCCGAAACCTTCAAAAATGTTTTTGACATTTCCTTACTTCTGCGTATTGAAACACCTAGTTTTGCATAATGATGATATTTAAGTAAACTCATTATAATTCAATTTAAGGTTATATCCAGAAGACAGTTGCGCTCTGAGTATGGATCACCACTGAAACCTAAATAATGAAGATGAAATATATTGTTACACAGTTGTTGTATTATATTTAAGCACAAACCTGGCATATTTAATGTAGGCAAAGCATTAATTTCCGATGAAGCGCCTGTTGTTTTTTTTTTTTTGCATATACCAGCAAAATGTGCGTAGCACACGCAACGAGACGTATCGCAATGCAAAGGAGTTAAATTTGCTAAAGCAGGATTTTTGGTTCTGTACAACCAAATAGCAAACAACTGTAACATTAGAAATGATATTTAATTGTGGACAATCTTTGGTTATTTTATTATTTTTTTACGTACCTTATCATTTCTTGCAAGGAATACATGCATTTTGACTTTTTTGTATTATTATACCCTGATACGTAGCACTTGGACATATTGGCTTTTCTTCTAATACCACTCGCACTGAAATCACTTAACGCAACGCAACTTAAAACGCAACTGAATTCAACGAATCAAATGCAAGCAAACACGATCGAACGTTCTCGAAGATTTGATTGCCCGCGTAAAATTTTTTAATCGATGCAAAATCAGGCACAAGAACGCGACCGGTGGCAGGAGCTTTAACTAAACTCGGGTTTGTTCGGAAATTTTCGGAAACATTTGTTCGGACTTTCATAGTTTACATTCATATTTATCAAATGATGCAAAATTTACTTGGTCTCCACACAAAATTTTAAAATAACGTCATCCAAAAATCAAAAAAATGTCTACTCACAACACCACCATGCGCTTTCACTACTAATAAAATTTTATTTTTAATTAAGCATTTTTTATTTTTATTATTTTAATAATTCCTGTCTTTTGGCAAGTTATTAAAATATAAAACATAAAATACGCATTACCAATATCTGTACAAAATCCGACGTAAGACTGATTTTAGGTGCACTTTGTTAGAATTATGCACAAAACTGCATTACTATGCAATAGTCTAAAAATTTCCGAAGGCATAGAGGGGTTCATATGACAATAATTCGATACAAAAATATAATTTGTTTTTCTCGAATCCATAAGTGTTAAAATTCAAAATAGTATATTTAAAAAAATACTATAACCTAATGTAGATATAGATGCATACGATGAGTAAATAAAATGTAAAATCGGTTCAATATTTTAGAAGTGCTTTTTGGACAAACATCGTGACACATTTACACACATTTATATTTATATATGAATAAATTTAATATATTAATTAATTTAACGCAATTAATTAACGATATTCACACCCCCTTAAGAAAAGTAAAATGCAACAGGTTGCATCCATCGATGTTCTATGCCTTTAACTAAAAAAAAACAAGAGAATGATTAGCAAATAAACTTTCCCTACCATTTGCCAGTTCCTGAAAACC